CCCCAAAACCCCAAAACCCCAAAACCCCAAAACCCCAAAACCCCTAAATTTTTAATAAAAATAGAACGGTTTATTAAGGTTTAGGAATGTTAAGGTATTGAAGACTGGCTGGAGAAAGAGAACTCAAGCTCTTCTTTCTCTTGATTTGTAATATCAATGCCATCAATAAGGTTCTTCACCCCTATATTAGCTTGTGTAACTTTCTTTATTTTGCTAATCTTAGATTCTTCCCTTCCACTACCGTACTCTTCATCTTTGATTCTTTCAAAAGCTTGTATTTTGGTTCTAGTAGGTTTACCGTCACCCCTAGATTTCTTGCTAACTTGTAAATGATTTTGCTGCTTGGTATAAGCAGCATGGGTATTTGAGATCTCAATGATCTTCTCTTCAATGTTATCCAGGACAATATTGTCAGCAGTAACAGCTTTGATGGTTCTCTCAAGTTTAGCGACTAACCTTGCAAACTTGTCGGTTTCTTCCCCTTGAAACTGTTGGGCTGTTTCTATTTCTTTTGTAACTTGGATCCTCCTCTTGGCTTGAATTTTGGCTTTCCAATCTGAGATTTTCTTGCCCTCTAGATGTTGTAAGATCTTGGGTTTGGCCTTGAGTTCCTTTATCTCTTTGATCCTTCTCATCACTACATTCTTGAAGATGTTCTCTCTCTTGATAGCTGCATATTTTTCTTCTATATCTTCTTGACCGAAATGGCTCTCTGGTAAGTTCATGACATAATCCAGTGGATATGACTTATTTCTCCAGGAAAAATTGTTTCTGGAACTTGAGGAATTTCTTCTCTAATTCTTCGTTACTTTTGACCAGAGTCATCATTTCATTGTACTTCAGCTCTAAGAGAATGCTCTTTGTCATTCAGCGAATGGAGACCTGGGATTTATATTCTTGAGCAGAGGTCTTCCTCTGACTCATTGGGGTTAGGAATATATCATTTTTAACCCAAAAAGTTCGGTAATTTATAACTGATCCTTTCCAAAGCCTCTCTAGTACAAAATTATTTCCCTCAAATTGAGTGTAGATCTCTACAATCCCATTAATGAGGATGTACATTGTCGTGGCTTCTTCATCTACTTTCTGGATAATTTCACCCTTTTTGCAAAATCTTTTGGTTAATGTGTAGATTGCATCATAGATTGCTTCATTTCCTACGCCTTGGAAGTAAGGTATCCTTTCAAGAGTTGAAAAGCAGAATGATGTCATCGGGTCATCATATACAGTGTAAATGTGCTCTTTAAGTGCTGTAACTAAGAATGGATAATCTGTTATAACCTCATTAAACACCTCGACCGTCATTTTTGCTAAGGTACAATAATTATTTTGAGAATACAGAAGCAGTTCTTGGAGTGCCATATATCATCCCAATTTCTCCGAAATGATTACCTGGGAGTAAATGTCTGACAGTATTAACCTTCTTCTCATAGTCCGTAACAGTGACTCATCATACTCCATTAGCGACATAATACATATCTCTAGTTTTGGAGTTCTGAGTAATGATAGTGTCTTCAGGACTCTTTAGCTCAACGGTAAGGTATTTGACAAAGCTCTGGATGATTTCTCTCTCCTTATTAAATAATGCTCTTTCCTTATCTGCTATATTATTAATGTTAAACAAGGTCTTGGAATATTCATCAAGTGCATCAGTAACAAGGTTCATGATTATATATTATTATTCCTGGCTACGCTTTCAAAGATTTGCTGACTAACCTCCATCTTGAGGCTAGAAGAGAGAACTTCGAAGAACTGGGCCATTTCTTCCTGTTGTTCAAGAGTCCCTTGAGTATAAATCAAGAAGTCCCTAACCTCTTCCTGGAGAGTGTCTGATCTGTTATATTTATTTCATATATCTTTATTTGTGGAAGGATCGTCATTGCCTTGAGACCTCAGCTTCCTACAGCTAAAGATAGAGCTAGATTTTGAGTGGAGAGGAAATCATAAATTTTTTAAAGCAGAATTTGTGGTATCTATCTTCTCCTGAAACTCAGTTTCTCTTCGGCTTATTGCTTCAACAAGAACTGCCATTTCTCCAAAAATAAGTGCATTTACAATAGCAGAAAATAACATAACCATTCCTGTAAAGGCGAGTTCTGCTTCATTGGTTCCTCCAATTTCGTTCCCTCCAAATAGCAAAATTGAGATATACAAACTGATTGCATATTGCCTAAGATTGCTGCTTGTATATAGATCATTATTATCACAGCTGTAGTACCACAAAGGAGGGCACCAGTTCTTGTACGAATTCACGATTAAGAAATCCAATCAGGCAATGCAGTGAATGTAAATGAAAAGCATAAAGACCAGGTTCAGAACTTTGATCATTACTTTGATGTCTTCCTTCATCGGCAAGTTCTTGATGATCTTCGAGATCCTTGACAGTCTGAACAGCTTCAGCAGCTGAAACGTCTGCAGAACAGGAAGGTTGCCTAAGCTGTCAAGCGGAACTGTAGAAATCAGATCAACAGAGAATCTACCGAAGAGATATTTCTTGGCAATTTTCTTTGCTTCGAACACTTCCTCGCCATCGACGTCGTAGTAGGTCGTCCTGAAAGTCAGGAAAATATCGATCAAGAAGTTGAAGTCGATCAGAGCATTGAGCACAACCACCAGAATGCTGCTTGAGAGCGGAGGCTGGAATGCAATGTCATACGGAATATACAAGGAGTTCCAGATTGCAAGCAGGATGATCCAGCAGTCCCAGTACAAGCGGAGGCCTGAGCTGTACCTGATCATGCACTTCGAAGGCTTCTTCGAAAGTTGAGCCTGCGCCTTGAGTTTACGCAAATGCTGGAACTCAGTCATGGAGGCTTTCTTGTCGACTTCCAGTTGTACGGCCATTTCAGTAAGGTCATGATGCTCCAGCAGAGACGACGAAGTAGAGTATTGGATTCTCAATTTTCTCGCTAAGATTTGTTTATAAATTTTATATGTGTTCTTATTTCCTCCAATGGATTTCATTTTTCTTAATTCGTTTATTGTTTCCTTTTTGATTATTCCATGCTTTATCATAATATTGATCCATTTATTTCTCTGCTGGCTTTAGTTTTCTGCCTGATTCTGGTTTAATTTCTTTATAAAACATAATAGATTCTTGATTTTTAACTAGGCCATTCTGAACTTTTTTATCTGAATCAGGAGGCCTTACCATGATTTCTTTGGGCTTTTCGTTATTGAGCCCTCGTGCAGTGTCTTCTGACCTCTTAGCATCTTCATCATAAATGTTTACAGTATCGTCTACTAGTTTTCCTTCAGTCTTGTCTAAGTCTATATAAGGTTTGAACCATTAAAGGCATTTGTAAATTAAGAACTGGGTCTTACAAACACTTCGTGAGACACTGGTGTCAATTTCTCTTGACTCCATTGTTTATAAATATACAATTAATGAAAAATACTAAGGGGTTTTGGGGTTTTGGGGTTTTGGGGTTTTGGGG